AGGAAGAATAAGAAGAAGAAGAAGAAGAAGAAGAAGAGGAGGAGGAGGAGGAGGAGGAGATTGGATTTATACCCCGCCCTTCACTTGGAGTCTCAGAGCGGCTTACAAACTCCTCTCCCTTCCCCTCCCCACAACAGACACCCTGTGAGGTGGGTGGGCCTGAGAGAGCTCTGACACAAACTGCTCTTTTTCAAGGACAGCTGTGCCAGAGCTTGTGACTGACCCAAGGTCACATCAGCAGGTGCAAGTGGAGGAGTGGGGAATCAAACCCGGTTCTCCCAGATTAGAGTCCGCACACTTAACCACTACACCAAACCGGCTCTGGGAAGCATTTTGTGAGTGTGTCCCAAGAATCGGGCAAGACTTAGAAGTGTTGATCTCCAGTTGGCACATGCTTGAGATAGCTTTGAGGTTAAGGGAGGTGACATGAAATTTCAGTGTGACCTCTGACGGCTGTTCTACCAGATTTATCATTTCATGTCATAAACAATGAAAGTCGACAAAAGCACACGTATGTATTCACCCTTCACTAGACTGACTTGGTGTTGAAAAAGCCCACCTGGAGGGGACATCACTCGTCAATATACAGATACCCAGTGCCCCTGCACATAAAGTTGGCTTGAAGTGCCAACCTTACGGTGGTGCTCCTGCCCTGAAAGAATTATTGGACATAATCCAAATTTCTCTCCCAAGTTATAAATTCTCCAGCAAGTATAGGATGATACCTCAAAGGAATCTTCTTTGAACTGCAACAGGTCTGGCCGGTTGGTGTGCAGAAAATACATTCTCCGGGTTGGGTACGGGTTGGTATACGTGATCCTCTTGTTCGAACTTTTGCCTCCACCGGGGGGGAGCACGATTTCAAAAGCCTACAGAAAAGACAGGGGGAAAATAACCCAAATGACCATGCGCATGGACATGCTTGACTTACCCAGCAAACCATAGCAATGATGTTGTGGAGAGAAAGGGAGAGTGGAAAGATCAATGGGGTACAGCCAGGCACGTGAGTAGTGTGTCTTCAGGGAAGACCAGAGGAGGCAGCAGCAGCTGTGGACCTGGAAAGTGTATCATCCTGCCTGAAGTCTTTGACTGAGTAGCTGGAAGATATCAGAGCTGGAGCCTGAAATACAGTGAGTAGGAGATCCAGCTGTGTGGACTAGGCCATGTTTCTGGTATTTCTATTACATGCAGCCAAGGCAGAGGGTTTATCTTGCCCGCCAAGCTGATTTCAGTAGAACGAGGCAAGATTCACAGCAAGAAGGCCTAATTATTAGACTGCAAAGGAAACCACTGTGTTCAGAGCACTGGATTGCCAGCTGCTATTACACTTTGCAGTCACTAGAAATATTAACGTTTCTCGGGAGGCACCAGTCTTAACCCCTAGTCTTCTCTGAATGGCACCTGGGCATAGACAGTGGTGGAAAGAAAGTGGTGGCCCACGCTGGGTTCCTACCTCTGAACCAGCAATACCTGATCTTCCAGGTTTTGGATGTTAAGGGAGGAAAAGCCAGCTGACTCAAGACCCTGTCCTTGCCAGCCCTGGATCCCTTGTCAGCTTAAAGGCTCCGGAGAGAGTGGCTCAGTCTGACCCTGGGGAGACACAAGGGCCGTCACCAAAAGCTCATGACCAACTAGCTACCTTGGAGATGAGAGGCTGCCGGCAAGAGACGCACACCAGCCAGGACGAGACGAGTTGATGGTACTCCACGTCCACCAGGTTGAGGTAGATAAACTGGCTGCCGGGCCTCTGGGGCCTGAGGCCAATGTGCAGGTCCTGCACCCCATTTGCAGGGAGGATGAAGATGCCTTCTGGGTCCACCTGGCAGGGGGGCAGAAAGAGAAGATGGCGTTTGTTTATATTTTTATCCTGCTTTTCAGCATGCGCCCCCCCCAAAAAAATGGGTTCCAAAAGCAGCTCACGGGAACCCAACATTTGAAACAAATAGCCATTAGAATTTGATTTAAAAATTTCCACCTGGATGCAGGTGGAGGGGTGCCTGGCTGCTTGGTGCTGTCCCTCGGTGGCATGGTGGGGGTGGTTTAATTAATTAATTAATTAATTAATTTTCATCAAGTAATTAATTAATTAAAGCCCCCTCCCCTCGTGTACCATGGCTCTAAACTGGGCCCCCACGCAACTGGGCCCCCAAAGGTGGATCTCCAAGGCCTCATTTGTCAACTGGACCTCGCAGATGCCCTTGGGGAAAGCATAACATGTAGCTGGGTTCTGAGATCCTTCAATTGGGGATACCAAGGTCCATCTGTGTGCCACAATGATCACAAGAGCACTGATCCTGTTTGGACCAAACAGTGGAGGATCAAGAGACTTGATTAGCCCTCACCGGCTTTGTTGACTGGTAAGGGGGAGCCAGGCTCTGCCCTCTGCCCTTCAAAGTTTACATTACAAATACAAGAAAGGTGCACAAGATGCTCTGGACGAGAGATGGATATGGCTGTGGAAGCCCACCTGGTGTTTAACTGGAGCTTACATTGGTGACTTGTCAGGTGTGGGAGCCTCAGGAAGGTTAATCCAAACCATTACAGACACCAGCAAGGCTATTCTGAAAGGGACTTCCCGGGCATCTTTTGATCAGGCCGTGGGGGAGGCTAGCCCGCTCTACTTCTGGTGCCAGGTTTGGAATGTAAATGAGATGTTGATTCAATGCAGGCTGAAAGGAATGCAGGTGTGATATTTTCTTTATTACCAAGCCTCAGTCTTGGCTATGGGACCACATCCAGCTCGTGCCAAGGTTCAGTGGGAACCTCTAGTCCGTCTGTGTGGCCATAGTGACCGGTGAGACCAAAAGGCAGGATGGAATATTCAGCTCTCAATGGCTTCACCAAGGGCATTATTACTGGTCAGGGTCCATGCCCGAGACTCCACTTGCTTTGGACAGCAGTTCTGCAGCAGAGGGGTTGTCTATGTATGTGGACAGCAGGAGTTTTTCGGGGGATCCTCCAGGTCCAAAACCTGAGATCCACTCTATGAAAAAAGCACTCTGCAAGCCACCCAAAGGAAGAGTTAGGTGACCCCTGGCTCGTTCTTTGAGACAGCCTCTTTAAATGCAGGGCCAGAACACACCCGCACCATCACAGCTTCAACTGCCCAAAGATCTCTTGCTCCTCTAAGCACCGGCGGAGAAGATACACAACCTATGAAGCCAGAGGGCAAGCCTTTAAATTCTCACTAACTGTCAGCTACAGGGTGGAGCTTGGGAAGCAATCCTGAGTCAGGCTTAGGTGTTCATATGCTCAGTGAAGAGGCCTGGAAAAGCAAGCTCAGCCTCTCAGGGGAGTTTGCAATGGGGGAGTTCCAGGCCTTGAGCAGCCTGGCCTAGCCTTGGGTGATCTGACCCTACTTCTTGCTGCTGGAACCTAGTTACAGGTCAATCTCCCCGTGTTCTCTGTTAGCAGCCTGTGGGCTCACAGACTCAGGTCACTTGAGGGTGCATATGCAGAGGGAAGGGAAGGGCCAGCAGTGAAGGTTACTACACTCTGCAGGGTCTATCTGCACCTCCACCCTGTACTGTCCACCTAATGACAATCTCTCCACTTGCAAAGGACCACGGATTATGCCGAGTCCCAAACAATGACACCCCTAATCTGCATCCAAAGTATCAATGTGTATTCAGCCATCCATGGAATTCAGCATTACTCTTTTCCCCTTTTGTAGCCTGCTGAGCCCCACAAAAGTTTGTTCCAGGGAGGGTCAGAGGACCTTCAGGAACAGTATAGGGGGGGAAGTGGAGGGAGGTCTACACTGGGAAGAGTGAATCAGCAGAAATTGCTACCCCCCCCCTTCAACAAACAGGAGTGCCATTCTGCCAGAGGAACTGCAGGACTGGATGCATAGCATGATTAAAGGTAAAGGTAAAGGTTCCCTTGCTCGAAAGCCAGTCGAATCCGACCCTAGGGTTGCGGTGCTCATCTCCGTTTCAAAGCCGAAGAGCCAGCGCTGACCGAAGACGTTTCCGTGGTAATGTGGCCGGCATGACTAAACACCAAGGTGCACGGAACGCTGTTACCTTCCCACCGAAGTGGTACCTATTTATCTACTTGCAATTTCTTGCTTTCGAACTGCTAGGTTAGCAGGAGCTGGAACTAGAGACGGGAGCTCACTCCATCATGCGGCACCCGGGTCTTGAACTGCTGAACTGATTACATCATTATTAACGTTCCTTATTGAATAGTTCTTTTTCTCTTGGCCCCGAAGGGCATAAAAAGAGGATTACCAGATACCCATGTTTAATCATCAGAACTTAACAAGGTTAGAACGATGTTCAATGTGGCAAATTTATTTCCTGTCTTCCCCTTCCTTAATCAGGGAGCTGTTCCTGTTGGCAGCAGAGGAGAGGACTCGCAATAATGGGTTTACATTAAGGGCGGGAAGGTACTGGCTGGATATTAGGAAAAACTATTTGCAGTCAGAGTTGTGCCACGGTGGAATCAGCTGCCTCGGGAGGTGTTGAGCTCCCCCTCACTGGCAGTCTCTGAGCAGCGGCTGAGCAAACACTTGTCAGGGATGCCCTCGGCTGATCCTGCATTGAGCAGGGGGTGAGACTAGATGGCCTGTCTGGCCCCTTCCAACTCTGTGAGTCTATGAATAATAAATTATTCTATTCTATGAATAAATGGTCTCATGCAAGAGAATCTCACAGCTGACCAGGAACTTGTTCCAGCCATCTAGATCTCAGTCCCTTGTCCCATGGTACACACACGTACCACCACCGAGCTGCCATCTTTGACGGTGGACTAGATCTGGAGGTGAGCCAGCCCTGGGCAGACGCCCAGACGCCTAGGTAACCAAAGAACCAAAGAATGCATGCTGTCAGGTTAGGTTAATGAATGAACCCATCTTGGACTGAGAAAAACATTTTAACATCAAGAGCACCGCACTTTACTTAATGATTGTTTTTATTGTGTAATGATTGTTTTATGATGTTTTAACTGTTGTTATGGCAATTGCCTTTGTTGTAGCCGCCCTGAGCCTGCTGGGGAGGGCGGGGTATAAATCGAACAAACAAACAGACAGACAGACAGACAGACAGATAGATAGATAGATAGATAGATAGATAGATAGATAGATAGATAGATAGATAGATATAGAGCAGGTAGACTGAGGCTCATCAGTCATTCCATTTTAAAGACC